TATATAATAAATTAATGATACTACAAATGTGGTCTGTTTGTAATTCATTTCTTGCAGTGTTATATAAATACACTATGCCTTTTCCTAGTGATATGCAAAATAAAACATTTTTTCAATCCTTAACTGTATTTTTGTTTAGTAAGCAGATCATCAATGACTATATGAATTGTATCATTTTTATTTTATGTATTTACTTATGTATTTATTGGGGGGGGTACTGGGGATTGAACTCAGGACCGTGCACTTGCCAGGCAAGCACTTATTCTACTTAGCTAACTCCTGTGGCCTGAATTGTATCATTTTTAATAGTATGATATTTCAATGTCAAGTTGTAATGATATTTCCATTTCAGAACATAAAATTAAAATTGATGCAAATATTCATTTGACATCACACAGTGTTACAAATCACAAAGAACATATGCATGCCAAATTTTTAACTTCTTACAAAATATCTTCTTTGTACAATTTAGCATCTATGTGATGTGAATCTCAGTATTGTTTAGAAATATTTCATGTAGATATTGCTGTGTAGATAGTAGCACAAGCAAGTCAGTGTGAAAACTTCCTGCTCCAAATTGCAGATAAAAAAGTTAAGGAATTAACAACCTAGGTTGTATGGTAATAAAAATAAGCTTCTCTTCTGGAGGGTTAACAACCTAAGTTTGCAGACCAAAATTAGAGAAAAAGGAGGGCCACAAGGAAAGCTAACATTTTGGCCCTAGCCTTTCAAGGTCAATTAAAATTCAGGACATATGAGAACTTGTACTGTAACGTCATGTAACTCAATAGTGTCCCAAAATTTCTGATCAAGGAGATTATGTGGCCAAAGAGGAAAGTGATCGATGATGTGGAATGTGCCTAAGGAGATTCACATGGAGAGAAAACATTCACTCAGGCTTTCATAGAGAACAAATTGGCCAAACAATGGCCATGACTCATCCACATGGCTGACACTGACCAAAGGATCTACAATCTGAGGTATAGGATCTCAGGAAAAATCCTGAGAGGATTTGACTGACCTTATAAGATCCAAAAGCTACAACTCTTGTTGCATAGGTCTTGCTTTATCTTGGTCTTCACCATCCAGCAGAAAAGTATAAAAATGAAGTATAAGAAGTAAAGCCATGCTGTTATGTTGAGCTGTAGGGGATTCAGGTCAGCAATTTCTGACACTGCCAGTCAAGAGGAAGACCCAATACTATTATGGACTACTGGACTCTTTTAGAATATTTTGCTGAGTTAACACACCTATAGAATTCAAATGACAGAACTAAACAAAAAAGGGGATACAGATGAGTGTCCATTTTGTATCTGTGTATTCAAAATGGTTAGGATAGATATATAGTTACATTCTCTTAATTAATAGAGGGATTTGTTGTAATAGAATATTATGTCTGCATCTTGTACAGCAAATAACCACTAGGAAGAGTATGCAATGTGTTAATTATTGAAACTGTCCTACCAATTTGATTTGAAACTGTCTCTTTGCTATTTGTCTCTCAATAAAATTATGGAGAAAAATAAAATAAAACAAGTTAAAAAACTAAAAAAAAATTTTTTTTAAAGTTAAGCATTTATTTAAATATTCCTGAGCTGGGCAACCCACTCAGGTCTCCTGTCCCTCTCTCCAACAGAAGCTTTCCTTCCCCAAATAAAAAATATTCTGCTGTAAAAAAGAAATAAATAAATACCCATGAGTATTTACCAAAATAATGGTAATTTCTTCTTGAAAATATGAAGAATCATTTAAAACCAGCATATTCATCAAATCAAATTTGGTACTGCTTGTGAGGCATTCAGAGATAAACCACCTACTTTATTTAAGTGATATAACAGGATAACATCCAGAATTTTTCACCCCTGCTTAATTCAGCAGCATAATGGCATTGGAATTGAGAGTCCATATTAAGTAGATTATTTCTCATTTTTAGTATTTTTGAGACAGGCTTCCCTTTAACTTTTTGTGTACGCTAAGTTCCTCTGAAACTCAGGACAGTTCTGCCTTAGCCTCCTGAGAGCTGGAATTATAGATGTGTACCACCATACCATTTAAGTTCTTTATTAAGGAGAGGAATGAGTACTATGACAAGTGGTAAAGAGCACTGTAAAGGAAGTTCACTAAGTTGCACATGGTTTTAAAGAAGTTTTTCTTTGAATGAAGTTTGATTTCATATTTAACATATCTGTGAGTCTATACCAGGAGAAAAGCAAAGGAAAATGTATCTCACTATTTCTTTAGATTAATTTTAGTATGTGTGAGTGGCTTTAGTATGTATGAGTTCTTTTCAATTTTTTATTCATTAGTGTATATTTAAAGTACATTAAGCTTGTATTCTACAGAGCAGATACATGTACAAAAGCATGTTGAGTTTTTAATCGCCTTGTCCTCTCTCACCTGCCAGTCTCCCTCTAGTTTAAAATTATCCAACATTTCACAGTGTAGTTTTAGTAGAAGAGAATGAAAACAATTAGATCTCCAACACTTCAGAGGGTGGAATTACCAGATTGCAGTAGAATACATCAAATACTAAAGAAAGAAGAAGAATTAATGAAAATTATAAAGTTGCAATGTAAATTTGAAATAATGTACTTTAAAAATAATGAATGGGTTCTATTTATAATTTGAATGAAACCTGTACTTCATCCTAATTCCGACCAAAAGTTTTGATAAACATTTGACCAAGAAAGTTTTTGAGAACAGTCAGAAAAGGCTTCTCCAAGCCTGTGCATGTGTTATCAGGAGTCGGTATTAACTAAGATTTCCATGAACCATATCCAAACAAGGTGAGTTTGAACTAACACAAATACAAAGTTAAAAAAAAACCCAACCAGCTGTATCTAATAATGTAGAGTTCCTTCAAAAAAACAACCATTTTACTCTATACATATACAACACAGTATAATACATGGATTAGAAATGTGATTCAAATTAATCAATGTATTGAGAACCAAAAAGTATAACAAATTCCAATTAATCAAGACAGTCAACAGATGTCAAGATACTACTAAAACTGAAAGTTTTAAGTGGATTTCATAAACTTTGACCAAAATATTTCGTGAAATTTTAATTTTTAAAAAACATTTACAAGTATAAGGGATACATTGTTGTTTTTATAAAATTTTATTTTATTAATAAATGTTTGCAGTGCAGTAAACTTATATTCATCTTAGAGAAAAGATGCAGATATGCACATCTTGGTTCTTTTTTAATCTCCTTCTCCTCTCCACCCATCACTCTGCCTCTATCTATGAATCTACTTTTCCCTTTTTCAATATTATTGGTATTGTTTTGCATCATGTTAACAAAATATAATCTTCAATTTCATTGTAGGTATTTGCCAAATGTACACAATATTTCTTAACTGTTCTTACTTCCACCTCTTCTTGCTCCATCGTCGTTTTTCCCCTGGATCTCTTCCTATTGAAAAAGGCACAGCTCCTTGTTTACTTCTATCAATCCTTTACTTTGCTCTGTATGTTATATTCATTATGCAAGTGTGAATAGGGTCTACAGGGTTTCACTATGTAGATCGGACTCAGAGTGATTCTCCTGTTTTCAACCTTTCAAGCTCAGTCTCTATCACTGTGTTAGCATGCCCTGGGGGCAGAGCCAGCACTGCATGCCAGGGATCCATCCCTGGCTGCTGCACTCTGCTAAGCAGGTGCTTTAGTCTGCTGAGCTATCTGGCCAGTCCCTAAACACTGTATTTTCAAGGTGAATCTATTTTACTAGAAAAATCTCAAAGTTAGTCTTCCTCATAGTTGATATATATTTCACATTTTCTTCAGGCATTCATTAATTGATGGATTTAAAATATGTTTCTAGGTTCTAGCCATTATGAATTATGCTTTTATAAATATTTATATTGCATTCACCTATCAGTGTAATAGGATTTGCTTAGCACTGTTGGAAAATTACCTAGAAGTGAAATAGCTCAATGAAATAAAATTTCTAATTTTAATACTTTAAGAATCTTTGTACTGTTTTTCATAATGTTTGTAAACTAATAAGTTTACATTCATATCAGCCATATAAGTGATCTTTTTTAATCCATCTCCACTGTTGGTGGGAGTTTAGACTGGTACAACCACTATGGAAATCAG